TTCGTGCGATAAACTCGTAGGCCTTTGCAGTGCAGCAAGTACCCCAGTGCCTTTCATTGATTTCAACGAGCAGACAATATGTGAGGATACGTCTTGTCAATTTTCATTGTTGTAATATTGCAGTTTAGCAACTTTTCATTGTTTAGAACAGCAATACTATGTGTTAAATCTTATGAGTGTGTGGTAGTGTCAGAGAAATGTTTTGTTTCCGAGAATTTGTTATTGTGTACTTTAGCTGTATATACACTTATGTAATGGAGCAGCGATGGCGTAGTGGTTAGAGCATTCGCCTCGCATGCAAAAGGTCCGTGGTTCAAATCCCGGTGCCGCGCAGTTCCCAACCGGATAAAAAAAATCCGCGTGGTGATGGAACTGCATTACGAGGCCTGGGGTGCGGCCTCACCGGTAACCACCGCCGGAAACGCACTCCCTCACCAGAGAAGGATTGGCCACCCTGGTGCAGTATCTGGCCACTACCTCCCACATGCATACATCAAATAACTCACGGCCCTCAATCCCCAGCAGCTGCAAAGCAACTGACCACGGCGGTGGTCAGATCTGCAACGCAGCAGAGGGTGCTAAGAATCTCTGGATCCGGACAGGCCGCCATTGGAACCTGGACTTGGCAACGTTTAACGCTAGAACCTTATCTAGTGAGGGAAGTCTAGCTGTACTATTGGAGGAGCTAGAGGGTGTTAAATGGGATATAATAAGGCTCAGTGAGGTTAAGAAGACAGATGAGGCATATACGGTGCTACAGAATGGGCATGTCCTTTGCTATCAGGGCTTGGCTGACAAAAGAGAACTGGGAGGGGGGTTCCTAATTCACAGAAACATAGCTGGCAACATAGAGGAATACTATAGCATTAATGAAAGGGCGCTAGGTATCGTAATTAAACTGAGTAAGAGGTACAAGATGAAGGTGGTACAGGCTTACTTGCCTACATCCAGCCATGATGACGCTTCAGTTGAAAGTTTCTATGAAGACGTGGAATCTGCAATGAGTAAGGTAAAAACACCGTATACTATACTGATGGGAGACTTTAATGCAAAAGTAGGGAAGAAACAGGCTGGATACCAGGCAGTAGGAGATTATGGCATCGGTACTAGAAACGCCAGAGGAGAGCTACTAGTACAATTTGCAGAATGCAATAGTTTATGGATTTTGAATACCTTCTACCGAAAATGAGGAAACCGCAAGTGGACATGGAGGAGCCCTAATGGCGAAAATAAGAACGAAATAGACTTTATAATGAGTGCACACCCAGGCATCGTGCAGGATGTGGAAGTGGTTGGCTAGGTACGATGCAGTGGCCATAGAATGGTACAGTCTCGAATTCGTCTAGACTTGAAGAAGGAACGACAGAAACTGATACGCAAAAGCCAATAAATAAGCTAGCACTGAGAGGGAAAGCACAGGAATTCAGAGTCTCGCTTCAGAACAGGTACTCGGCTCTTAGTGAGGAAACCAACTTTAGCATAGATAGAATGAATGATAATCTGACGAGTATCATTACGGAGTGTGCAGTGGAAGTTGGAGGCAGGGTAGTTAGACAGGGCACTGGCAAGCTTTCCCAGAAACGAAGAATCTCATTAAGAAGCATCAAATTATAAATGTCTCAAGCACAACAAACAAAATAGAACTGGCAGAGCTTTTGAAGTTGATTATTAGGCATGAGGTATGCAATATCAGAAGGTATAACATGGAGAGAATTAAACAGGCTCTGAAAAATTGAAGAAGCGTGAAAGCATTGAAGAGGAAACTTGGGATAGGCAAAAACCGGTTGTATGCACTAAGGGACAAAGAAGGTAAAATAACTACCAATATGGATAGGATAGTTAAAATAGCGGAGGAGTTTTACAGAGATCTGTACTGTAGCAGGGACAACCACGACCTTAATACTATAAGAACTCGCAGTAACCCAGATGACACCCCACCAGTAATGATAAAAGAAGTCAGAAAAGCTTTGGAGAGCATGCAAAGAGGCAGAGCTGCTGGGGAGGATCAGGTAACATCAGATCTGCTGAAAGATGCAGGACAGATTGTGTTAGAAAAACTAGCCACGCTGTTTACGAGGTGTCTCCTGACGGGAAGAGTACCAGAGTCTTGAAAGAACGCTAACATCATCTTAATACATAAGAAAGGAGATGACAAGGACTTGAAGAATTACAGGCCGATCAGCTTGCTCTCTGTAGTATACAAGCTATTTACAAAGGTAATTGCTAACAGAGTAAAGGAAACATTAGAATTCAATCAACCAAAGGAACAAGCAGGATTTCGAACAGGCTACTCAACAATCGACCACATTCATACTATCAATCAGGTAATAGAGAAATGCTCAGAATATAACCAACCACTATACATAGCCTTCATAGATTATGGAAGGCGTTTTTTTCAGTAGAAACATCAGCCTTCATGCAGACACTGCGGAATCAGGACGTCGATGAAGTATATATAAACATCCTGGAAGAAATCTACAGGGGATCAATTGCTACCACAGTGCTTCATAAAGAAAGCAACAGAATACCAATCAAGAAGGGTGTAAGGCAGGGGGACACAATCTCCCCAATGCTATTTACCGCGTGCTTACAGGAGGTTTTCAGAAGCCTAGAATGGGAAGAGTTAGGGATAAGAGTCAATGGAGAGTACCTTAGTAACATGCGCTTCGCCGATGACATTGCATGGCTGAGTAAGTCAGGGGACGAATTGCAACTCATGATTAAGGAGTTAGACAAGGAAAGCAGAAAGGCGGGTCTTAAAGTTAATCTGCAGAAAACGAAAGTAATGTACAACAACCTCGGAAAAGAGCAGCGCTTCGAGATTGGTAATAGTGCACTTCAAGTTGTAAAAGACTATGTCTACGTAGGGCAGGTAATAACCGCGGAGCCTAACCATGAGATTGAAATAACTAGAAGAATAAGAATGGGGTATAGCACATTTGGCAAGCACTCTCAAATTTTGACAGGTAGATTGCCACTATCCCTCAAGAGAAAGGTATATAACAGCTGTATCTTGCCGGTACTTAGCTACGGAGCAGAAACCTGGAGACTTACAAAGAGGGTTCAGCTTAAATTGAGTATGACGCTGCGAGCAATGGAAAGAAAAATGGTAGGTGTAACCTTAAGAGAAGAGAAGAGAGCAGAGTGGATTAGGGAACAAACGGGGGCTAAGGATATCATAGCTGAAATCAAGAAGTAATGGACATGGGCCGGGCATGTAGCCCGTAGACAGGATAACCGCTGGTCGTTAAGGGTAACTAACTGGATTCCCAGAGAAGGCAAGGGGGTTAGGGGGAGACAGAAGGTTAGGTGGGCAGATGAGATTAAGAAGTTTGCGGGTATAAATTGGCAGCAGCAAGCACAGGACCGGGTTAACTGGCGGAACATGGGAGAGGCCTTTGTCCTGCAGTGGACGTAGTCAGGCTGATGATGATGATGATGATCATTATACTCGTGTAATGAACGCACTTTTTTTTTTTTTTCGGAAAATTGAAGCAAAGCTGTGGTGTGTGTTTATTATGCGGGGCAAATTTTACAAAAACTTTTTTTGAGATGAGCAAGAAATGCAATAAGAAAAAAAAGGGGGGGGGGGTTTGTTAGGTATACGACAACCTTCCCGGGATAAGCATGAAATGCAGTAATGCAAGAAAAAAAAAAAGGTTAGGTGACTTAACATTTCGTAATTAGCATACACGTACAGTGTTCCGAAACAGTTTCCTTATTGCACTTCGCTCATCTTCGGTGGTTGGTGTCGCCATCTTCTGCTAGCTGTTCCCACGCACTCCATAAAAGCGTTTTGTGCCTCTCTTATTTTTCCGATCTCTTTTGTTTACCAGCGACAGGGGTATCTGCTGTAATCTTCAGGGGTGCCTGGAAGTGCACGATATGACGCACGTTGCAAACTTGTGATCATGACCAGTTTGGCATTGTCGCAAGTCTCACCGGCGTTGCTGCAAGCTACCACCGAAACATCAAAACAGTAGATAACAAGACTAATGACAAAATACAGCTGCTGGCTGCAGACTCTTCACTCGCTTCAAAAATCTTGAATTACACAAGGATAACAAGCATGAAGAGCAAATTGTGACTGAAGTGAGGATCAGGGTGTGTATCATGTTGCCGAAATGGTCACGCTCTTTTACGGGCGACAAGTAATTTTTTTTTCTGGGTTTCCAGGAACTGGCTACATATCTGCGGTGGCAACAGATGGCCCTTCGGGACAGCAAATTCTGCCGCTTAGAAATTGCATGCATGTGGTTGGGCCTTAAGTTTCGTATTTTCAGGAAGGGACCGTCTGTTGGCGGGGGCAGTTTCGTGAATTTCGCTCACTGCGGGCTCGTGAGCTGCGATGTCTCCACACATGCATCGTTTCTTGATCCCACTGTGGCACACTGATGATTGAAAAAAAAAAAGAAAAAACGTGTGGTGTGCACAGATACAAAGCAAAACGAAAAACTGTGCGTTGCAGCTGGTGAAGAGGGGAGAGAGTGAACTCGGGGTTTGCATATTGCAATAATAGAAAAGGTGAACAGGCAAGAAGTTGTCACACGTCTGTTCGTGGTACTGTAGTAGATGAATGTAGTGGGTGCATTTATTGCGCGGGTGAAAAATAAAATCCAGATTTTGATGACTGAAGCTGGGCCTGCGTTTATTATGCGAGTGAATACAGTATGTACACTCTGAATCTGCTCCAGCATGAGATGCTGGGTGGTAAAAAATGAGCTACAAAAAAATAGTATCGATAGCATTCGATTTAATGACTCTGTAAATTATTGTTTCGATAAAGACAGGTAACTATTTAGTACTAGTGATGGAGGTGCTAAGTGAGTGCTCAAGAGAAGCTTCAGACTGGGGGCAAGCATGTTACCAGAATGTCTGTCTGATGATTGCACATCTTGGCGGTCATGGCATATCTCTTATGCCTTGTTGTTCTACACCTAAAAGAAGGCAGATTGAGAATTGAGAGAACTGCTGCATTATTGACTCGTGGGCTCATCCAGATCCTGTCGGTGGTGACAGCCAGCCAGCTGGAGCGGGTATTCAGTCAGCGGTGCAATTTCGACTTGCGGCGGCTCCTGGCTGGATCCGAGCGCTTTCTCGACTCCCTGTGTGACCTGATGGACTGTGACCCGAGCTTCCTGCTGGGCGCAGTCCGCTGTCTACCCCTGGCACCAGCCCTGCGGGACCAGATCACTCAGGCCATGCTCAAGCACTGTGCCAAACACAAGGCAAGCACTCGTTCCTTTAATTGTTAAGCTGCACTTGCACAATGACATTTTCGTTATAAGAAAGCATTTCAGTTTTTGTCATAATTTTTGGGAGTCCTTGCAACAGAAATGGACTGAAAGAGAGAGAGACAGCAATAGGAGACCGTAGAGGGAAGACAAACTTTATCACAAGAAATGGAAAGAGAAAGGCACTCAAAACTGACCCAAAAACTACATACCCTATTTACACAACATTCTGCCATGCAGTGAAACCAGAACTAACTACAATCCACGTTAAAACCAATTCTAACCCTAACCAGTACAGTGAAATCTCGGTATAACGAATTTCACATTAACAAATTTTTAAGATTAATGAACTTTTAAAAATCTCGCACCAACTGCTAATAGTTTCAATGTAAAATTATTTCACTACTATGTACTTCAGAATACCAAACTTTTCAGAATAACGAGTGTTAATTTAGTTCCACGTTATATTAACAACGCCTCAGTACTACAAACTTATGTTCTGAAATCCGTCGCGATCACCGGAGTGGTACGCAAGCAGACGACAAAGCAAACAGACGCCTTGCTTTTCGAAAAACGGGCGACGTTGTGGAGGAAAAAAAAAAATGTAAGGGCACTTTTTTTCTTTCTTTTTATAGAAACGCCGACGCTCCAGATTTACAAGCGAGCTCAGAGGCGAGGGCAACACAAGAGAGCAAAGTCAGCGAGGCAGTGTGGGAGTTGCTGAGCAGGAAGCATGGGCGGGGAAAACCTGAGACAGCGAGAGAGTGAAAAACGAAATGCGAGGAATTTTCCTTTTTAGCATTTTTTTTTCTTCGAAAGAGGCGATGACAGCCGTGACGCTTCAAGTTTTTCTTTGGAGGCCTTGTTTTTTCAGTCGTGTTCATCTGGTTTCGGAGATTACTTATCGCGTCCGCAAAGGAAGACCGCGTTTTGCGCTGTGGTTATACTACAAATGAGTTCATTTCTGCTTGCGACGAAGAAGCGAAAGCAGTTTTCGCTAAGCGAGACAATGGATATTCATGGATATTCTTCGGCAACTGGAAGGCAAAAAGCAGGCTGTTGTGACCAAAGAATGGAATTGCACCACAGGAATCTGGATGAGCTGGAGGCCTTCGCGCGGCAAAGTTTGTCCTGCTCACGTAAAAAAAAAATCACAGACTTCTTTAAAGTAAACGTGCATTTTTTTGGTTTTTACTTGTGCATTTTTTTCTCATGAAAAACGAGTTCAAGGACGCACCGTTGTAAATGTAAGTCGTTTTTGTTGGTGAAAAATATGTATTTGTGGTTACTTTTTTAGCTTTCACTATAACGACCTTTCAAAATAACAAACGAATTTTTGCAGTCCCCTGAAGTCCGTTGTACCGAGATTTCACTGTATATAGCCAATATTGCGTCTCGGTAATGAAAGGTTCTTGCTGTTTAGCACGCCGACTCAGTGTCTTTTGCCGTATTGACGATTCTTTGAGTTCGTCATCGATGTGTACTGCGAGTTCTTAAGGTCATCGTCTGTTGTTTCCACCTAACGAGCCGCTTGTCCTCATTGCCAGTGTCCGCGTTGTCTTCGGCTCTGCTAGGTTAAGCCCAACTCGTCAGTGGCTCCCCTGATGACGAATCACTAGAATGACTGTGGTGTGGGCCGCTACTGTCCTGGCCCAAAGTGCAAGAGCTGTAGACGCACCAAGATCTGCTGTGAAAGCGTCATCGATGTCCACCGCGAGCTCTTAAGGTCATGGTCTGTTGTTTTCACCTAATCAGCAGCGTGTCCTCATTGCCTGTGTCTGCGTTGTCTTCGGCTCAGATCGGTTAAGCACAACTCATCAATGGTTCCCCTGATGATGAGCCACTAGGATGACTGTGGTGTTTACCGCTACTGTCCTGGCGCAAAGTGCAAGAGTTGTGGACGGGCTAAGATCTGCTGTGAAAGCATGCGGCAAATCGGGGAACCCTCACTCGGGTCATCCGAGGTCAATAGCCACTCCCCTGGCCTCTACGCTGACAGCCTTCAGAATCGGGCAACTTCTGCTACCGTCGCGATGCTGATTTTTTAAATCTTTGCAGCTCGAAGCCACACAGAATAGTGCCGTTTTTTTCTTGTCTGGGATTTTTCACTATGACTCGGGTCGTGCACCACTAGCTTTTCTCCAATCCAATGTGTGAACATGTCATGTATGCGCATCACCGAGGCCTCGCGCACCATGCCAGCATGTGGAACACGTCTCGCGCCAATTTACTCATGACAGTTTTCACCACTTAGTTTATATTGGGGGGTTTCCCCCTCAGGAAAAATACCAAGACAGACCGGCAGCAGCCATCTTTACTCTGCCTTGCCTAGGCCGCTACTGCCCGCTGCCTGCGGCTGCTGTGTGCCACGAGAGCACCCACGATTGTCCCTCTCTTCTACCTATTATCAGTGTATTCGTGGCTGCCACATCTGTGTGCCCATTCCCCTAAAAAAAAAATTGGCCCCGTATCTGCATTTAATCTGCAAATGTCGTCGAAAGATGATAGTCTTGCATGTGGAGAGAGTGAACAAAACATTTATTTGATGTTCTGCTCAAGAAAATCGGTGAATGGTATATTGGAAGCGCTGCGCTAGAGTGCCTCGAGCGTGCGGCGGAGGCGAACGAGCGCATGAAGTCACGTCACACGTGAGACATGACTGCCATCTGGCAGTTTTTTTCAAAAACAAAGAGCATAGCTCTGAGACGGGTGTGGGCGCCTGCCTCAGAGGCGATAAGGTGTAGAATGCAAGACGACGGGTAGGTGCCACCACTGTCTCGTTTTAGCAAAGCGTTGGAAACACTCGCCTTTCCGTGCAAGCCTTGGATGGTGAGCGCAGCGTGATAAGCGCTACGGTTCTTAGTATTGCTTATGTATGCCTTTTCTAGTAATAGACGAACATGCAGAATATATACGTGTTGTTATGATGCCTCAGATATGCGCAATAATTTCTTTTTAATTGACAATCGCACACGTATGAACGCTGATTCTTGAGCAACATTGGTGGTCGCTGCGGATGGGGTCAGCCATTCGGGCTATTGGCTGGTGCTGTTTAAAATACCCAGTTCGTAGTAACGGCGGACAAACAGACAAATGTACAGACAGACAGACCAAAGTTTTCGCGACGAAGGTCCTCAAGAAAGACTATCGTCTTAAAATGGGGAACAACGATACGGTATGCTTCACTGCAGTAGCCCAAGCAACTTTCCGGTCTACCCGTCTTTCCCATTTCCCATCTACCCTTGGCCACAGCAGAACGCACATGGCCCACACGACCACACATTAGCAAAGTTAGTCCAACAGGTCACCAAGGTCCCAGTGGTGTCCGCGGCAACTTGGGGCTCATCCTTTTTCGAGGCAGCAGTCGTCATGGCGGCAGACTCCTTGCTGCTGTTGTCTGTGGTTGCCTTTTCCTTGTAGACCGCAAGTTTCTCCTTGTTATTAACGCTGAAATTTGCGTAATATTCTTGCGGAGCCTTGGCTGCATCCTCGTCATGCTTTACCTCGACCTTCTCGCCTTTGTCTTTGCTGTCCGCTGACTCATCTTCGTTGACAGGTCCCATTGGGGCCGCCTCAGTCGACGCTGCTTGTTGCTTCTTCACTTTCGTTTTTAATGCACCTTGAAGTAGTAGCCTTCTTGTCACCCCACGCTGCCTCCAAGCTGCTCACATGGCCCCCATCTGCAGACTGCCCCGCCGCGGTGGTCTAGTGGCTAAGGTACTCGGCTGCTGACCCGCAGGGCGCGGGTTCGAATCCCGGCTGCGGCGGCTGCATTTCCGATGGAGGCGGAAATGTTGTAGGCCCGTGTGCTCAGATTTGGGTGCACGTTAAAGAACCCCAGGTGGTCTAAATTTCCGGAGCCCTCCACTACGGCGTCTCTCATAATCATATAGTGGTTTTGGGACGTTAAACCCCACATATCAATCAATCAATCAATCAATCCCATCTGCAGACTTGTTTTCACGCTGGGAAAGTGTCCTGGCCAATTAAGCCTTGACCTTCTTGGTCTCTCTCTCAGTGCACCACTCTATTTCACTGTCCGAGTCGCCTGCCTACATTTTCTTGCAAATATGTGTCGCTGCGTCGACTGCACTCTTCGGTTGAACCCCTCCCCAGAAACCACGTCGCTTTCTAATATAATCTCATTCAGTAGTTTCTCAAGACCGTGCTAGTTCCGCCTTTTCTTCCTCTACTCCTTCACAGGCATCTTGGTCACCTGTTTGTACTTGTGACTGTGCATGCCATCGCCTGCCCCCTCTTGGTCCGCAAGCCCGTCTTGCCTCGCGTCAACCTGCCACACCGCGTCTGTGTCACTGATATCCCATGCACTCTACTAAGACAAGTTGGTCTCTTCCTCACCTCCCTGGAACTGGCCTCCCTTCTCCAAGACAATCACCACAGCCAGAGTAGACACCTCAGAACTCAGGCTCCCAAGGGCTCGCTCGTACCTGCAGATGCCATCGGCATCCGGTGCTGCTTCATCATGTGCACTGCCTGCGCTCACCGTGAAGTTAACCCTGGTACGGTGCTCCGTCATTCCATGTAGAGTATTCTTTGTGGTTGCGTCATTGAGGCACATGTCGCGAACGGACGAGATGTCAATGGGAGTCCAGCCGCCGACGAAGTGGTTGTGATGCCGAGGGAGTCAGTGAGGCACAAGTTGGCTCGAAAGGAATGTCGGGACATGGTGGCATGAGGGGGGCTCACTTGGCTTATGGGAATATTTGAATGCTCTGAATATTCGAACGTATAGTAGAGTATTCGAATTTGCTTTGATTAGAATTTAAATTATTTAAAATTTCGAAGTATTCGCAAGGAATGAATAGGTGTATGCCAATCTGCATATAACTGCTTGTAAAAGTGGTTTCACTGCAGTGTAGGGGTGTTAAGCCGTGAAAGCACCTATGCAGGGGAAATCCGCTCTGTCGCGAAGCCCCCCTTCAAATTTTAAAGGGCCTTGCAACACTTTTAGAGCAGGGTCAGGAAATGCTGCT